TTGTTTCTATACTTTTTGGCATTGCCATCCCTACACCATGTTTTTTATTACTACTTGTTCACTTACCAATCAAAAGAATCACCATTATAAGTCACAAACACCATTGGTTTTACTTCCACAATATGATCAAAAAAACGTTGCAAGAGCGCCATCTACAAATAAAACAATGAACTATAATTTCTATAGCAGCTAATAATATAACAAGCTGGATTAAGCACTTTAAAGCTAGAAATGTAAGAAAATCAAACAAAAACTTTGTATGAAATTATTCAGAATATAAATATAAAATATTTTACAGAATATCATACTAAAAGTTCTAACCAGTACTGACAACAAAAAGTTGGAATCAAAATATTCAGAATATAAAATAGTAACAAATAAAATAATAATAATGCATTAATATACAATACACTACTGCATATTGAAAATTCTAACTAATAGATATGTATTGTGCTCACAACACTCAATGTAAATACACCATAACTACAAACAAAGATATTATTTTTGTTTTAATCAGCAGCCTTTAAAGTAAAAAGAAAAAAAAAAAAACCTTCTGGTCTGTTGAAATGAAACAATGTTTCATTTAACAAACTTTATTACAAACAGGATATTCCTGTTAGTAAATTCCTGAGATACTTGTTAATTATTATTTATATTTATGGTAAAACTACTAAGGCTATCTACAACCATCATTAAGTTTGAGCTAATGGACAGCAGCCATTCGGCAGCACCCTACCATTTATGCTAAGGGATTGACTGTCACTATAATGCACCCACAGCTTAAGTTATAAGAAATATTTTGAAGTGTTACACAAATTCAAACCTGGCTCCAAAATCTAGAACTCTACCACAGGACTAACCCATACATGTGTTTATTAGTTTCAAAACATAATAAAACAATGGGATGTCAACAAAAGTATTTCTTAAAATTACAGATAACCAACAGCAAAACTTAACACACTAATATTGGCTTAATAAAAACTTAACAGAATAATATTTCTTCAATCAAAACTTAACACACTAATATTGGTTTAATAAAAACTTAACATACTAATATTGGCTTAATAAAACTTAACACACTAATATTGGTTTAATCAAAACTTAACACAATAGTGTTGGCTTAATCAAAACATAGAACAATACTGGCTTAATCACACTTAACACAATAATATTAAAATATCTTAACATTCCACGATTCAGCTTTCCTTATGAAGTATATATTTTAATTATTCTTTGGTTTAGTTAGCTCTAGTCTTTAAATGATTTCAACACAACTGAACCAGTAAAACTGTTCTAAGAAATAAGAACACTTTATCTTCTTGAAACTTTTATATAAGCCAATAATTTACTCTCTTCTCTTACCTCATTTGGTTCATTGAAAATTATAAATGGTCCCTCAAATTCAGGTTTTGGTGTGTATTCAAAGTCTTCTACATCTGATGTAACAATATCCCTGTTTATGATTAGATAACCCTAAGATATAAAGAAATGTATTCTATTTTTTTAAAATCCAAATTAGTCACACAATACAAAATATTAATTAATGTAAAAAAATAAGTTTATTACCTGCAATAAATTCATTTAAGAAAATGATACAGCCGATACAAAACATACAGGTTTATACTAACCTAAATTTGAAGATGTTTCTTCCTCAAGGCATTTTGGAAAATGTTGTTAAGTGTTTCCTTTATTTTCTCCAATACTTTTTACTTTAAGATTAATCCATTTTCCAAAAAAAAAACAAAAAAGTAGAAAGAAAAATATTTCATATTTTAAAACTTTTTTATGCTAATTTGGGGACCATTTCATGCATGTGAATTTGGGGGTGCTCACCTAATTAAGTGTGTTTAATACAAACCTGGAATAGGCTCCCACACCATTCACAATATAGCTTTCTTGCAATTTCTTAATTTGATAAAAACAAACGAAACCAGCCTGAAGTATCATGCTTAGTGATACTACATTTCTAGATCTGATGACGTGTTCCCACTAGCTAATAAACACCCAAATTAAAATATTAAAAATACAACAACATTATTCCAAGTGAAACTAAAATGTCAACACTATTAAGAAAGAGAACTAACAGTAAGACAAATACTTCCTTATATATACTTCCTTATAAATTAGTTTTTTCTACCTGTATCCTTTTAAAGATCTTATAATTACTGCAAAACTTTAAAAAAGACATTATTTTAGTTTACATTCCTGTAAAATTAAAAGATCATTAAAAAACCTCACCTGTCCATCAATCATATACGAAATCATCATGATTTGGTCAGTGCTGACGTCAGGGAACTTCAGGGGAAGTTTGGTTGTTTCTATGTCATATGCCAGGACAATTAAATCCTAGGCAAGAGAGAAACCTGATCAGACTTATTGTAAAATGTTAATTTCTATCTTTAACTGTGAAAACTAGCATAGCATCCAGCTGTGGAACTATTTATTTTGTTTGCTTGTTGTTAAGCACAAAGTTACACAATGGGCTATCTGTGCTGTGCCCACCAAAGGTATCGAAACCAGGTTCTTAGCAATATGAGCCTTCAGACTTATGGCCGAGCCACTGGGGGTGGATGAGAATTGCTTAATTTAAATATTTGTATTTTGAACTTTTGAGTTTTAAATTGGACATGTTTCAACCATTATTAAAAACAGTTATCATTAAATCAAGTTAACAATATTAATAAACAAAAGTGTAAACAGAAATAATGTTTGAGTTTTCTCTGTACAGCAATCAGTTCCGAGGTCACATCAGAATCAGTCTGTGTCTGAGGCCACGTCATAAAAAAAACAAGAAAAAGTAATTTATAAGAAGCTCATCTCAACTAGATTTTAATTTAAAAATTTGGTGACATAAGTTCCACATCTTCCAGTTTAATGGATATTTTATTACATAATAAACAATAACTACAATTCAAATTCGATGACGAGGAACCCACTTTGAGACTAATAATGGCTGGAGACGGCTTGAATGGGTAATG